ACTATACTATACTATACTATAATTCCTAGTCCTTGTACGGATCTATAGGCTAAGCATGGTAACCACAAGGTCGGCAGTCCATATCCACCAGCTGCTCCTTGGAAACCCTAAATGGGGTTGCCATGAGTTGGAACCATCTCAATAGCACTTAACAACACCAACAATGGAACAAGAACAAAACAAAAGTCCACAGAAGACTTGTTATTGTTTTGTTTTTGTTTTTTTTTTTTTGTTTGCATGCATTTTCTGATATACTGTTGAAAGAATATTCATTCCTTGCTGCCTGTATTTTTATAAAGCCTTCATATTTTAATCTTTGGAAACATGGTGTTTGACTGTGCTTCCTTTGCATTATGAAGCTGGTATCTTGAAAAAAAAGAAACAGAAAAAGAACTCAGATCTCATCCTGCTCCAAAATCCTTACATTTTGTCTTGCTGGTACTTCATATTTTTAATTTCTCTATTTCATAAACTGTCATACCAATCCACTTACCTGGTTTGTACACCATTATTTTTGTCTATTTTCTCTTTGTTTCACTTTGATCACTTCCTTTTATGATCTCTTAAAGTCAAACTCTTCCCCTAGGTTATGTTCTCGTTCCTCAAGCAATTCTATGTATTATTTAACTTATTAATCTATTTGTTACCTAAGATTTCAACTAAAAGTTTATGTCCTAGCACAGATCTCTACTTTACATTCACAAGCACCAAAATCAACTGAGTAAACGAATATCCATTTGCATTATCTTCAAACTCCTAATCTGTCGCTTCTTTTAACCTTTTGTTTTGCTTTTGGTATTTATAACACTTCCATTTTCTTTAGTTATGTGAGCCTGAAAACTCCATAGCTGATTCCTCCCTTTTTCCTTTTAATTATCATCAATGCCCAATCAAAATCCAATCATGCTGATTCACCCACTAGAAATTAATGTGAAGCTACACCCGCCTTCAATTTCCATATTCATCACACTAACTCAAGTCCTCAGCACCTCCAATCATGCCTCTGGAATAAAGAAGAATAAATGCTATTTTGAGTATTTTATTATTATTCTAGAATATACTTTTGGAATGGAACATTAGAACCAGAAGGATCCACAGAAATTATCTCACCTGAGCTGCTGATACCATACATAAAGAAAGAAAAAGCCAAAGAGATATAACAAAGTCATAAAACAATAGTAGATTCAAAGCAACTGTTGATACTGAAAAACTTCTACAGAATGCTCTTATGTTTCCACTCTTACATTCTTCTTTGCCATCTAACACATTGCTCTAGCTAAAAGCAACTTTTACTGTTGCTCAAATCTCCCTTGTTCTTTCCCCATTCTATGCCTTTACTCCTGCTATAATTCATACAGGAACACTTTCTACCTGTGTCTATTAATCAAAATCTATCTATATTCCATCTAAGGTTTACTTTAGATGACACGGAAGAAAAATTCAAGCCTCAACGTGTAATATGAAGGATTCCATAGGAAAAATGGAGTCCTGGTGTGATACTGTGAATTAATGTGTTCGAATGCAAAGTCTGTTTGACTCACAAGGTTGGAATTTCAAGCTTGCCATCTGCTCCTCAGAAACCCTATACAGGATCACTATGGGTCAGAATTGACTTGACGGCATTTAACAACAACAAAAACATAGGCAAAATACTGAATAGTGTATAAAGCATCAAAAGAAGGTGGAAGGAATACACAGTCACGATATAAAAAATAATTGGTTGATGCTAAACAATTTCAAGAGGTACCATATGATTTAGAACTGCTGGTATTGAAGGAAGAAGTTGAAGCTGCATTGAAGGCACTCTTGAAACACATGGATTCAGAAATCGGTAGAATATCAATTGAAACATTTCAAGAGATGATGTAATGCTGGATACGCTCACTTGTGTATGCCAAGAAATTTAGAAGACAGCTTCCTAAAGAGATCCATATTTGTGCCCAGTCAAAGAAAGATAACCCAATGGAAAGTAGAAATCATAACACAATATCATTAATATCACATGTGAATAAAATGTTTCTGAAGATAATTCAGAAATGATTGAAGTAGTACATTGACTAGAAATTCAATACAGATTCAGAAGACTTAGGACAAGGGATGCCATTGCTGACTTCAGAAAGATTATGAGTAAAAGTAGAGAATAACAGAAAGGTGTTTACTTGTGTTTCATTGACTATGCAAAGACATTTGACTTTGTGGATCATAAC